AAAAAAAAAAAAAAAAAAAAAAAAAAAAAAAAAGACGTGGCTCTGGTCATTCTTTCTGAATAACTAATCTTAATAGGATATTAAATATCCCAATTATTACTTTCTTATAGAATGAAAGTAAAAAGAAAAATAGGAGCATTTGCATAGACTCTTAAAATCCACTTCAAAATTCATTGATTTCAGGAACATATAGGAAAGTAGATTGCTTTGAGTAAGAACAATTCTTTCCAAACCAAAGTTTGTGTGAAAGATACTGAATTTTTAAAGGTCTATTTAATAATTTACTGGTGAACTAGGTAGCTGTCTGAAACTACAATTCTACATGTTTTCCTAATGTACATTTCATGATATTTGTTTGTAGAACATCGCGCACATGCTACACACACTCGCTTGTGCATGCACACACGTACACAAAGTAAGGTGGCTTCTGAATCTCAGAATCTCAGAATATGCGTCTGTCGATTCAAGTCATCAGCATAAACCAATGAGTATGTTTCACAGACACACACACCTCTCTAGCCAGGAGTCTTTGTCTCTACATCCCTTTCCTAATCATATTTTCATAGTATCAGGACATTCTTTGTAACAAAGTCAAACTCTTCAGCCCAGGTTCCAGGATGGGCCTCATCACTTATGGCAATATACTACCCCAGGAAAAGCACGCGTTTGTATCTAACAAATCACTTTTTCATTTTCTGCCATGCATACTTAACTGTTTCTTTTTGCTGTTGGCCAAGACTCCATTCCTCCAAAAAGAAAACAAAAATACCTTTTAAAATTGACCTCAGCTCGACAATTTCTTGTTGTATATTTCACCAATATCTGAATTCCTCCTCATAGGCCGCCTTGTATTCCTGACTTCCAAGCCATCATATTTATATCTCAGCTCTCTTCTGAGGCAATTAATGTTTCTGGGCTGGTCTCTTGCATACTGTTCCTATCTCCTACAGTGCTCAGTACAGTGGGGACAGCAGGTTGCTTGCGATGATTCTGTTTGGACAGATGAATGGATTATAAATCCAAGTAGTACAAATATTTTTGGATGACTGGGATTTGTGTGTTCACAAAAGATACCGATGATAATTTGGGCAAATAAGCTGGTAAGAATATGCAAAGAAGATTTTGCCAAAATTAGAAGAGATATACATCACGAGACTCACATAGTCTCACATGTTGTTTTAACATTTAACATTTGTTAAAAACAAGTGGTGCAGAGTACACAAATAAAACAGAGCAAAACTTATTAAAGCAGATGGCAATAGAATGTTTTATTACAAAAGAAATATACCAAATTGATAGAAAATGAGTGTGTTAGTTCATGTTCCAAATATTCTCATTTGGAAAAAATAGTATGCTTTTTTCACTTTCTATTGAGCTATAGAATAAATTTCAAGTAGATTAAACTGGCAAATATTTTAAAACTTAAAGAGGATAAAATTAAGTGACTAAGTATGTGGATATTCAAAAGGCAAAATAGTTTGTAAACGTAAAACTAATATATGAAATTAGAAGGGCTATGCCAATGTACATATTTAACCACATAATATTACATACATAAAAATAACAACTACAAATAAGCTAGTAAAGGTTGAAAAAAGTTCTTGAGGTGGTATGACAAAGAATTGGTCATATTCTATAATAGTTTATAGAAAATCAGTATTAGAATATAGAAATATGTATACATAAATCGACATAGTTCCAGAAAAAATACAAATAATAAGCATTCAAAAAGGCTTTTCTTTATTCTAAAAACCAAATAAAAGACTCTTTTTATATTTGCAAATTGTATGAGATAACGGCCATTTTGAAAACAGTTTGGCACTCTATACTGAAAATCTCTTTTAAAAGATCCTTATACTTAATTATTATACTTTTAGAAATTTGTCCCAAGGAAATAATAGGTCAGTGCTCACTATGTACAAGGATATTAAATACAGCCCTGGCAGTGATAGATCCATGGAAGTGAGGATTCAGGAGCAGCGAATAATTAAGTGAACATTCATATGTGTAATATTATATTATACACAATTTAAATGTGTAGTGTTATCTATGTTTGTATGTGTGTCCCCATATATATCACAGACACAGGAGAATGTAAACAAATGCCAACAGTATATAAATTTAAGATATGTGGATGATGGAGATAAGGGTTATTGAATAAGTTTTTCATAATTTTCTGTATTTTAAGCTTTTTATTTTTGCAATCAAAATCTGCTTTCTGAGATAAATTACCTTTTTTCAGGATGATGCTTCTTGAAAATTGCTTAGTGGAAAAATGGAGGGATCAACTTAGTAAAAGATCCATAGTAAGTATAATTGGCAACACTGTGACTAGGAAAATAAATGCTTGTAAGGAAATTTTGTGAAATTTTTCACATTGTCTCATCCGCAAGTTTCCATGGAAGCCAGCAGTAGCAACAATCTTTGTCTTTTGAATAAGTAGTTGAGAAGTATAGCTATTGTTACTAGCAATTTTATAAGAAATTTATCATTTGAATTCGAAGTTGATTGAGTTGTATTCAATTCTAATATACTAGTAATTTCCAAATTTAAAAGTTATTTATTTATTACCATGAATTGTTTTAACAAGCAGTAAAATACTTTAGCAGAATCCCCTGGGCTAAAGCCAATATATACTGTATTTGTAAGCATCCAGATACCTAGTTGTAAAATTCATGACATCACTACACATAGCCAAATCTTTCCACATATTTAAAATAGTGTCAGATTTCTATAAAAAAAATCATGTGGAAAAAGTAATTGTTTTTGGGCCAAATTATGGTAATGATAATATCATAGAGATATTGATAATTCACTTAGAGTAGGTAGAATATTTTTTCCCCAAATGAGAAATCATACCAGAACTGAAGGTATTGGGTAATTGATTTGAAATTTTTAAAGCTCCCCCCTCTCCTGAAAAGAAGGTTAAACATATTCAGGAGAATTTATGTTTTGGGAATCACAAAGGAACTGCTCCTGCATGTGTGCTCTAGTTTGTATGAATAAAAATTCTTGGACAAGGCAAGAGTATATCATGGTAATTGGCTTACAGAGAATGCATTTACACTGAGGCATTCTTTACTCAGAGCATGTCTGTGGAACAGACCCAAATACTCTTCTGCTAATTCTGAGCTAAAAACACATGGTAAAAAGCTAACAAGGTGCTCAAGAATATGAGTAGTATTGCTAGACAGAAAGTTCTAGCAGTATTGGTTATCTGGTTTCCAAGTGTACCGTAGATTAGAAGCATTCGTGGAAGGCAAGTCGACCAGAAGGACCTGTGATTGCCGAGGCACAGAAAGCTTCAAGCATCACAGTTTTCTAGACCATTCACTTTGGCAGCAAATATTCCTATTTACTTCAGCAAGAATTTGAAAAAAATCACCATATAGTAGCAACATACAGGAATAAATTTATCATTTTAGAATAGACTAGAATGTCTCCAAGGAGGGAAGGAACAGTGTTTTCCTTTTTATTGTATTTCTGGTGCCTAGGACTTTGCCAGGCCTGCGGTGCTGCTCAAATGCTTTGCTTAATAAAACAGAGACTAACAAAGACGGGTAATATGTGTTCCAACATAAATAGTGTCTATCCAAGTGGGCTCACGTTCAGTTGTTTCTTACATGAGCAAGAATAAAAAATTCATCTTTGTTCTCAGGGAAATTTAATTATCCAGAACAACTGATTTCCCAACAATCTGGGTAGCTGACACTTTAACAGCTCACACTAATCCCCCTTTTCCACAGTTTTGTGTCCAACAGTTTGTTATCTGGGGTTAATTGTGGTCTAAAAACACAGTGTAAAACAATAAGATATTTTGAGAGAGAGAGAGAGAGACCCTGTTCATATAAAATTTATTATAGTACATTGTTAAAATTATCTTATTATTGTTAATTTTTATTATAACCTATTAATTAAACTTTACCATAGATATATATGTACAGGCAAAACACGTAGGATATATAGAGTTTAGCATGCTCCGCCACATGCTGGGGATCCTGGAACATATCCCCAGTGGAGAAGGGAGAGATTCTGTACTGCAGAAGTCTCCAACTCACCAGCCATGGACCAGTACCTGTACTTGGCCTGTTAAGGACCAGGCCACACAGCAAGAGTTGAATGGTAGGTGAGCGAGGGAAGCTTCATCTGTGTTTGCAGCCACTCCCTACTGCCTGATCCGAAATGTTACATTCTCACAGGAGCACGGAGCCTACTGTTAACTGTGTATGTGAGCTGTCTAGCTTGTTGAATCCTTTGAATCAGCCTGGGAACATGCCCCATTGCCACCACCACGCCCATGTGGGGAAAATTGTCTTCCATGAAACCAGACCCCAGTGCCCACAAGGTTGGGAATCCTGTTACACTAGTTGGAGGGGGGCTTCTATTTTCCATTGGATGTGAGTGTGTCAGTGTGGTAAGAATTGTCTGACTTGCTGGTGAGTTTGGGTAAGTTTCTTTTAGTCTTTTAGGAAGGCTTTGCAGGGTAGGAATGTTGCATTATAGGGCTGGTAGTAAAAAATTCTGGGGAGGGGACCTTTGGCTCTGGAGACAGTGGTGAATTTGGATCCTACTCAGACATTTACTAGCTATTGGCCTTCTGCAAATAACCTCTCTGTACTTATTTACTGGTTGCAACATCTATGGTTGCTTTTGTGAATTTCAAATAAATGAACACATGTGGATACTTAATCATCGATTCAATATTTGCCAGATCACCCAGGTACATGTAGGTGCTCAGCATGGCTGTAGTTATTGTGGAGCTGTTGTGATATTACAGTATGGACAAATTGCACTGCTATTTAAAATTGCATGGATAATGTCTGATGTCACCTTACAGTGAAAAGGAGTGAGATGTTTCTGACTGTCATGTTTACAAATTGCCCCCCAGCAGTGGGAAGAGAGGCTGCGGGAACAGCGAAGAGCAATTCAGGACAAGAAGCGAACAGCTGGACGCACCAGTCGTAGTAATCCTCCCAAACCAAAAGGAAAGCCACCTGCTCCCAAACCTGCCAGCTCTAAGAAGAACATTAAAGCTAGAAGTGCACAAAAGAAGACAAACTCCAAAAGAGCGTGAGCTAACTGCTTTCAGAAATGGAGACTTCCTTATAGCATGAGGCTGGGCATTGCCTGGGACAGCTGATGTAAGGCCACACACCCCTTGCCTTAAGGACTCTTGCAGTCCGATTCATAGACACATCTTGCAGCATTTTCTTTAATGATTTGCTTCCATGTTTCCTTTTAAGCCATTACAAGCCATATGGGTGATTGGCACTCTGGTATGGCAAGTGTAATAATTAAAGCTGGTTGAAAGCTTTTTTGGTATACAGAGTGGTGCACACTCTTTTGACCGCCATGTAGAGGACATAGGTTTTTTTTCTTAGTTTGACCTAATATGTGCATTGTAAAATTAATGCCATATTTGAAAAGAAACACTTTTGACAAAATATTTTATTTCTGTTTGACTTCTGATAGAACAGTAGTGATATTTTAAAATGTGACTGAAACTATAACGCTTCTGAAGAAAGTAAGAGAAATGAATGTTGAAGAGATTTTTGTGTTTATTATCTGCAGGAGGATTTGGGAGATGAATGGGCATTTTTTGGAAAAATCTAGAGAAGTAGGATGTGGAAATTGTAATGCGTGTTTATAAGAAGACTTTCGGCTCTGTTTTTAGCTACGAATTCTAAAAACTAGAGTAATAATGACAAATAAATAAAAAGGAGAGGCAGAGAGACAGTTCTCTGATTCTTGTTTTCCGGGTATCATGCCACTGGTGGAGATGTTCTGACCTCACGATTACAATGCTTTTGTCAATATCTTCTATGAAGGGCTGGAAATAGTGAGTTTGTTTCACCTGTTATTACATAGGTGCCAATTCATGTGTCGGCCCTAAGGGTTTTATAACCACAAACAAAGTGTGAGACTCATCTGACTGCTCAGGACATCCCAGTGTTGTGATTGTCAAACTGGAGAGAGTTTTCTCTCTGAAATGCAGGCACTTACAGCAGTGCCATGGTAGGTGGACTGGGACACCAGGCTGGTCCTCAGCCTGCTATAACAGCCACCACACACTAGCCCTGTGCCTGGGAGAGGAGACAGAGGCCACTTGTCTGCTCATTTTATTTGCAGGTAGCAGAACCATCTGAAAGCTTAAGAGTTGTGTCCTCTGAGATCTGCCATTATCTCTGCTTCTCCGGGCAGGGTGGGGTGGGTAAGTTAACATGCTCCATTCATAAAAGATAATTAAAGCGAGCTTTTGATTTCACCTTTGCAGTCACTGTGACTCAAATGTGACATAGGAGGGCAAGCCAAAGTGGAAAGTGGGGAAAAGGACCAATGAGAAATCTGCTGTGCATGCCCAGCACCTTCTGAAAGCTTCAGCTGGGCCTGCTACCTCAGGATGCTGAGGCTAAAGGAAGCCCCTGGATCCACCTACATCAGAATATCAATAAAATGCTCAGTATGTGGTCCTATTGTATAAAAGCCAAACCTCATTGACCCTTAAGGAAAGCCTATTAGGGCAAACTCAAAGACCCTTGGAAAAGCCATGCAAAGCTATGGTAGCCTTAGCAATTAACAATTCCATGGGAAAGAGGGATAGAAATGGCTATTCTGTTGAAAAAGAGGAAAACATTTACATAAAAGTATTTTAAAGAACAAAATTAAATGTGATAACGATTTGAGAATGGTTTTACAAATCTAAACAAAACTTCCGTTGACTATTTTACTGAAATTCTATACTGTTACACAAAGTCTTAACTAAATTAGGTACCTTTACAAGTTTGATTGATTGATTTAGATTAACCAGGCCACTGACTGGTTATTATAAAAAGTCAAAGGTGAGAGCAGAGACCAGTGTGGGAGTGGCCTCTTGTGATTTGGTTTTCTCACTGAAAATAGTTTCTTCATCTAAATACATGTGAGAGGAGATAAATATAAATATATGGAAAAAATTGAGGTTCTTGGGATTTTTTTAATCAGGAAAAAATACATTTTGCAACATTTTATTGACAAATGCCATAACTGGTTAACGAGGCATGGCTTTTTACAAAAAAACACCCACAATATTGTTTCTTTTTTAATGGCACAGTAACATATATTCTCTGTAAGCACTCAATAATTGCACAGACTCAGAAAGAATGCAGTTAAAATCCTACTTAATCCCATTCACCATAACACACAAGTAATCACAGTTACATTGTGGCATGTAATTCTTCAGGCGTTTACCATACATTTGCATAGTAATTAAAAAAAAATAAAGATCAGAGCCTATTGTACCTTCTGTTCAAAAGCCTGCCTCCTTCAACCCAGGTCTTCACTGAGTTTTGTCCTCATGTCAGTAAAGCTGACAGTACCTCTTTTATAATGGCTGTGTTGAGTTCTCTGTATCACTCAACAAACCCTTATGCTATTGAGCAGTTAGGTTGTTCCCTAAGTGAACATACTGAATTACAGAATAGACATCTGGGGAGCTAAGTGTTTGTGCACATCCTTGATGAGTTCCTTGGGATAATTTTGTTTAAGTTACATTATTGGGCAAAGAAGTATGCCCAGTAAGGAAAATCTTGGCTGTATTGTCCATCATGCTGTGAACTGCTTGAAATGGCAAAGTGCTGACTTCCCAAATCCCTCCCCTCCATAATTTTATGAATGTGAGCTTAGCACAAGAGGCTCCCTTCGGTGAACTTCTTCCTTTCATCAGTAAGCCACCAGCTACAGCATTACCCATGCTTTCAACAATCCAGGCAGCTGCATCCAGGCATCTGAAGGCTTGAACATCAAAAAGGGAATACAGAGTATTGATAAATGGATGGATCCACAGGTAAGTATGTAGGTAGATGATAGAGCTAGATATATAGATGATAGAGATAGATGGATAGACAGATTTCTTGACTACTGGGAAAAGCCTATGCTGTCTTGTCAATTTTCTAAAGAATCAAATTTAATAATATAACAGGTTGAGAATCTGAAGAATCAGGATATGAAGAAACTAATAGATTTCTCTCTGCATAAATCCCCTCTTAAGGTTCATGAAAACTTATATTATCAGGCTTAGCTCTTTCCAGTTCTAAACTGCACTTTCTGGTCTGCCCACACTTTTGGTCTGTGTGCTGGACTGTCCATAGATTTTCTGTTGCATCTTCACAGTAAACTCTTTCACTTGTACCAGCGCCAGGGTGCTACTGTTTGGGGGAACCAGTTCCTGAGTTAAAAAGGAAGGGACACTGTGGCTGCTGCTGTCACCAGTGTAAAAGGCAAGAGTGCTTACTTGGAATGGTGACAGGAAGACTGAAGGAGACCTTAGAAGTCACTCTCTGCTTCACTGGAGCAAAGCTGAATGAGGACTTGTTCGATGTCCCACACAGAGTGAGAAAGAGCTGGATCCCAGAGTTACTAAATTCTAATTTACTAGGCAATCATGCACTGATGATTTTGCACACAAATCTGGGAGTTTGAAGGGAATACTCACTTGTCGCCTCAGAACAACTTTTGATTATAGTCTGGTATATGCTCAATTCTGACCACGTTTTCTGAAGGGAAAATTTTTTTGAGAAGCACTTTACTCTGAAAGATCTATTACATTATTGTTTAGTTAATTGTTAATTTTGTCACTTAACTGATAAAGAAACAGGCCACATTATTCTAATCAGTGTAGTATCTGGGCTAGGTTTTCTACTTTAATATCAGCACCCTGAAGGAAATGTCTGATACCAGGATAGCAGTGAAATATCCCCCCTTTTCCTCACTCAAGCAACAGACAGAAAAAAAAAAGATGAAGTCAAAAAACACCTAAAATATCAAAGTCATTTCACATGTGAGGCTTAGCATTGTGGTGTGAATCTTTCCAGACCTCTTTCCTGTTTTGGTGAATGAATGCTTTTGGTTAACAATGCAGCATTAAAATTTTTCCATATAGACAGGTATGCAGCTTAGCAGCACAGCACCTAATGGCAAACAATGTCCTGAGTTTGGGTTCTGATACAAAAATTTTTTCCCATATAAAAAAATCTGACGGCATGTTTGCTTTTCACCATCCTATGGCATGAATGTAACAGTTGATTTTTCTAATTATTTGTGTGAATGTACTTTGAAATGTGTTCCCTAAGGCATGGCAGGGTAGGACAGATTTCATGACACAAATCATTTTCCACTGCCATCCAAATCTCAAGACCAGAGAAAGAAAGATACAAAAACATGCCAGGCACAAAAGGTTTTGTCCCATTAACCTTCCAGCAGTCTTAATTCTTTGTTGTCATTTTTGTCGTAATCGCTGTTCCTGAGTTTGCCGTAGCCTTCATTCAAGTTTATGTCTGCATGTTCCTAGTTAGTCTTAGCCTGCAGGATAAGACTTAATGAGCTATCAGACTCACGACTACCATGGTGAATCCTAACCCCTGACCACTCGCAGCGGTGGGGTGTGAGGCTGCTTGTAACATACAACCTGGTAATATGGTTTTGCTGTGTTCAACTGTTCTATCATCCACACTTTCACTAACATGTTAACAAGGTGCACTGATAACCAGATGCAATCCTAGAAAGCACATTTCAAGGCTGCTCACACTTCCCCAAAGGCTTCTACTACTGCATGTACGTTGTTTGAGAAACATATGATACTTTTTTAATTACAAGCTATAGCTAAAGTGTTATTGGAGAGTGATGTGGAAGGTGCTCTTGTTTAAAGCCAGATGGAGGTACAAATTTGAAAATCACTTCATTGATGATATGTGCATTAGCCTGGGTCCCACAGAAGCAGGTGCCAAAACAGAATTAAATGTGCAAGGATTCTTTTGGAAGGAGAGGTTTTGTTTGAGAGGACAGAAAGACTGGGTAGGCCAGGGGAGCTGTCACACCATGATGCATGTCATAGACTGAAGGTGACAGACGGGAAAGATGAGGTTGGTTAGGAACATTCCAGATTGCAGCACGTATCCAAGGGGGATTCTCACAAAATTACTTGGGAGGCTTCAGCTCCAGTTACCCATTAAACCAAAGTGACCTCTCTCTCTCGGGGACAGCTCTGCCTACGGACCCTGTTGTGCTGTCCCCTGAGCAGGAGCAACCTGTCCATTTTCTGCAGGCTGTCTGCTTACAGCTCACAGGAGTCAAGGAGGGTGCTGAGGAGTACTTGTCTCCAATCCAGGTTACTTCAGGAGTCCTGTGTTGGCAGGGGTCGGAAGGGACTTCCGTTGCTTGGATCTGAAATGTTCCCCTGTGGCCCAAGTCAAAGGCTTTGCCCCAATGCACGGTGCTGCTGGGGCCTGCTGGGATGAAGTTAGGTCACTGGAACTGTGTCTTCCGAAAGGATATCAGGACCCCAGTGCCTCCTCTTGTGCTTCTTTGCTTCCATGCCTCTGTGAGGTGAGCTGTTTCAGAACCCACCCTGGTGTCCTGACCCATCACAGGCCCAAACGCAATGGGCCCAACCGACCACAGATTGCACCCTCTGAAACCCTGAGATAAAATAAGACTTTTGTCTTCTTAAGTGAATCTTCTCAGGTATTTGTCTTATAGTGACTAAAAGCTGACTAGCACCAGGCCATCAGAGATATGACTTCAGGTGCAAGACTGTGCTGTTGAAAAGCTGTGGGCACCATCCTCCCCGCAAAACCCATAAAGCCGCAGACCTCCACAGCCCTGTCTAGCTGTTGAGACAGAACTACCTCCTGCCCAGGTGCCCCACTGCCCACTTTCTTAGCTTGTCCTGTATTGGTACCCACATCCCCACCACCATGTGCCCCTCATCATGTCAACAAACTCCAGCCCATTTTTCTTGTTCCAGGCTCTTCTCACCTTGCCCTGCAACCCTCACCTGCGTCCACCACAAGGACTCGGAATTAATGCCTTTCTGCCAAAGTCCAGCTGAAACTCAAGGCCAGCTCACGCAGCTGGGGCTCTGAGAATCTGTTAGAATTTTTTTTAAACCTTTCTTCCCAAGGAGCAAAAAGATTATTTCATATCCTGCCAAGCCCAGCCCCATATACCCACCTCAGGCCTCTGTGTTTTATCCGCTAAATTCAATCTGCCCAGGGCCCAGCCTACTATAATTTAAAGGAGAATTGCCTCTTGGGATGCAATGATAAATGCCTCTTATGTCTCTTTGGACTATTAGATTTCTGGTTATTTGCCAGAATCCAAATTGCCTTTCTCTATAGCTTGCGTATAAAATCTTTGTACAGCTGTAGCCACATATCATACAAACCTGAGTGTAGACTGCCATCTTCTGATCAAATGTGATATTGCTTTTAAGGGAGTTTTAATGCTTTCAAAATTCTGGACCAACCCTGAGGCACTGACAGGTGCCACAGAACACCACCACCTATAATCCGACCGCAAAGCAGCAAGCAGAAAATAGTTCTCCATCTGGAGTAATGGGAATGATGCAGGAAGCACAGAAAGTGACGATTCTACTAATCTTCATTTTCTCTGCATAATACAAAGAAAGTCAATGACCAGTTTACTTTAAAAAAAAATACGTTCTGTAGAAAGATTGAGCAGCATCCTGAAAATTTGTATGTAATTAGATGTTATATAATTTAACAATGTTCACAGGTGTGCTTCTCAAACATCTCAAACAGTGTTGGGACACTCCAATTTTTGAGGTAATTTCTTACTACTAACACTAGAAGTTCAAAGTTTGAGAATATATGTATTTGCAATACTGGGGATTGAATGTAGGACCTTTTCACTGAGCAATACCACCACTCCTCTTTTTCAGTTAGGGTCTTGCTAAGTCCCTTATTTGCCTGGACTGAGCTCAAACTTGGGATTCTCCTGCCTCAGCCTCTCAGTGTGCTGGAATTGCAGATGTACAGCACCACTCCCACCTGTTTCTGAATTTTGTCAGTATGAGGGTTTAGGGCTTAGGAGGGAAAGTTAATTGCACACCATCTCTGACCTTCACTTAATGCCCTAATGTGTTCTTTGGAATTCAATGGACAGGAGGATTCCATAACTAGCATTCTGGATATCTCACAAGACCTTGGACACAAGCTGAAGAGGGCATCACTACAGGAAGCATCATTTAAATTACATCTGCAGAGGGGGTCAAAACAATGAAAATTTGGGCTTATCTTTTAACACAGAGATACCTTGGTCATCTTACCATTGGGTACACAGCCTGCGCCAGTGATGGTGAAACTTTGAGACCAAGTGCTTAAACTGCAATTCAAAGCCCATTAAGTGCCAACACTGCAATTAAACCGATGCTTGGCTGCTAGGGTGATGCTGGGGTGAACTGGCTCCCACGCCGACCGAGAGGATTCTGAGTGCCTGCTATAGCACGCGTGCCACAGGTTCACCACACCCGGCCTTCAATGTGGTATGGTGAAATTGCGAGCTACATAAATCTCGCTATGCCAGAGTTTTCTGCTAGAAAATTTAGAGCCAAATAGACCTCGGGGTCTTTCCATGTGCATTTTGCCTATAATTCCATGAGATGGACTTCTCTCCCTCTCCCTGAGTCATGTTTCTCTTGGATTATTTTCTTGTAGCTCATGCTATACATTTATATAAACCACATTATGTCCTTTGTCAAAGTCAGGGTACAAATACTCATCGATATTTGTCCATGCCTTACAATTTTTATTGTTATTGTGCTTTATCGTCCACTTATTCATGCTGAGATGAGTTCTCCTCCAAAGAATGTCTTATTCTTCCTCCCTGGAGGCTGTGCCATACGATTATATGTTGTGGGGACTTTATGCTTTATCTTCCCAATGTTCTAGGAAAAGAACACAATAAAAGAAATGGCAGCACTCTGTGCTAAGTCTACAGCATGTAGAGTTTGCATGTACACGGTGCAAACGCAAATCCCTGACTTGCAGAAGGAGCCGGGCTCTTTCCCTCACCTGAAGACTCCTCCGCTCAGTGAGATCGTAACTCACAAAGAACCTGTGAGAAAGCACAGCCTTTTATGCAAGCCGCTGAAGGATTCACAATGTCTGCTTAAGTCAAAGGTAAAGAAGTGAACTGGAAGGAACTGAGAAGGACAACAGGACTGACTGTGTGGGTCTTCACTGGACACATAGAGAGGCTGGAATGGGACGTAGCTCCCACTCAGGATTCCCTGTGGGCCTTGGGGGCGGACATGCCCAGGGAGGAGTTTTAGGGATGTATGTTGTGTTGCCATTACTTTGTTTGAACAGATATTTCTTTGATTTGCTGTCTCTTCAAGAGCTTTATTAAAGATTTATTTTAAGGACTTTGATGTCAGTGTTATATTCTTTTTCCTTTAAATATATCCCCAAGACAAACCTAACTTTCCGTAATTTGAGGAGTTGTTTCGGGGAAGTTTGTTGCAAGGATTTTTTTGTATTATTTTCTTCATCCATTATAACAATTTAAGTGTACAAGTAAATGGTATTAATTATATTCACATTGTTTGCAACTATCACCACGGTTTATTTCGAAACTTTTCATCACCCAAAACAGAAATGTTGTTCTCATTAAGCAGAAATTTCCAACTCCTCTTCCCTCCCTCTACCTCTCTAGAAAGTAATGCATGTTCTACTCAATCTGCTTTTAGCTGTATGGTTCCCCTGCTAGGTACTCAGGTGACTGTCATCATCCAGTATTTGTCCTTTTCTGTCTTCTGTATTTCATTTAGCAAACTGTATTCAAGTTGCATCCATGTTGTAGTATGTATCTGTACTTCATTTCTTTAGAGAGATAAATCGTATTTCACTGAAAGGATATACCAGAAGTTGTTTGTGCATTCCTGTGTCGATCGACCCTTGGGTTTTGTTTGGCTTTGGCTGTTGTGAGTCATTTTCCAATGAACACTGAGGTACAAGCAGATGCTTTGAGTTCTGTCTTCTGCTCTGTTGGACATATATCTATGAGTAGAATAGCTGGGTCAAATAATAATCATGTATTTGCATTTGGAGGGGAAACTGCTAAACCATCTTCCACAGTCTAAGCTGTGTCCTTGTACAGTTCCACCTGCAGTGTCCAAAGGTTCCCATTTATCCACATTGTCATCAACCCTTGTTAATCTCCCACTTTTTACAGTTCAGTGTCAGCTCCTTGCTGCTTTGATTTGGGTTTTCCTAGTAGTGTCGAGGATATTTTCACATGCTTCCTGGCCATCCATCTCTCTTTTTTGTAGAAATGTCTACTCAACTCTTTAACTGGGTTGTTTTACTTTTGGTGTTGAATAGCAGAATTCCTTAAATATTTTGATATTAAACTATTGTCAGCCATATGATTTGCAGACATTTTCCCCGTTGTATATTGTTGTTTTATACTCCAAAGGAGTACCTTTCGATATACAAGGCCCTTAACTTCATGGAAATTCAGTTTATCTACTTTTTCATTTGTTGCCTTTGTCTTTGTTGTTGTAGGTAAGAAACTGACATCTAATACAGCATCCTGAAGATTTTCCTTTATGTTTTTTCTAAGAGTTTTTTTTTTCTCATTGAGTTTATTGGCACATTTTAGGTATACAGTATAGTTACATTCATCATTGGGATCCTGTACCTTTACATGACAGGTCTTAGTTCTCATTTTTTCCCCTTGTCCCTGCCCTCCCTTCACCCCCTCCTCCCTTTCGTATTTATAAATACTTTATTTTCACTTTTTCGTTTTCTAATTTTTTCCTTTTTCTTCTAAGAGTTTTATAATTTTGCCTCTTTAACCTATATTTTTTATCCATAGGGAGTATGGTGTCGGGGGGGTCCTAACGATTATTTTAAAAGTGGTTATCTGGTCTCGCTAGCATTACTTAATGAAAATACTTTTCATCTTATTACCTTGCATACTTGTCAAGTATCAAATGATGGTGAGTGTGGAGGTTTGTTTGCTCTCAAGTTTGTACTGTTGATTATATATTAAAGCCACTATCATGCTGTTCTGACGACTAGCTTGGTAGGAAGTTCTGAAATCAGTAAGTGAGAATACTCCAATTTTGTTCTCTTTCAAGAATCTCTTGGCTCTTCTAAGTACTTGAACAGTTTTTATAAATTTTAAGATAGATTTTTTTTTCCATTTCGGCAAAAAGAAAACATCATGAGGCTTTTGTTAAGGATCATTTTGAATCCATACAGTGTCTGGGTAGTACTGTTGTCCTAAAAATACTAGGTCTCCCAATCCATGAACACAGGATTTCTTTCCATTTATTTATGTCTTATTTAAGTTTTTGCCAGAATTATTTTGTGTTTTTCAGTGTACACATTTTGTGCCTTGTTGGTTAAATTTGTTCCTAAATAAGGTACTTTTTGATGCTGTGGCACGTGGAATTATTTTCCTAGTTTCTTTTTGTAGATATTTTATTGCTACTACATAGAAGCATAAGTGCCTTTTACGTGTTACTTGTGTATCTTGAATCTTTGCTGAATTAGCTCTTAACAAATGTGCAAGTGTGTGTGTTTTGCCAGGGTTTTCTGTACATAAGATCATGTCATCTGCTAATAGAGATATTTACTTTCCCTATCTAACCCATATGTTTTTATTTCTTTAATTGTCTAATTTCTCTGGTCAGAACTTCTAATATTATGTTAAGCAGAATTGGCAAAGGCAGGGATCTCTGTGTTTTATGTTGTTGCTTTTTGTTTGTTTTCTACTAGGGATCGAATTCGGGCCCTTGCACTTCCGAGGCAGTTGTCGGAACCACTGATCTAAATCCTAGGCCCCCTCAATGTGTTTCTGATGCTGGAGAAAACTTTTTAGTTTGCCCCACTGATTAGAGTGGGGGCTGCGGGATTTCAAACATGGTGTTTCTCACATTGAAGAATCTCTATCTCTACTGAATGTTCTTTATCATAGAAGTGTGTTGGATTTTGTTGAATGCTTTTATTTATTTATTTTTTTTGGTATTATTTGAGTGATATATTTTTCTTCTTCATTCTATGAATGTGCTGTATTGCATTGATTGATTAGCACATTTTAACTCCCTTGCATACCTGGCATAAATAGCAATTGTTCATGGTGTATGATCCTTTTCACGCACTGTTGGGTTCAGTTTTCTGATATTTTGTTGCACACTGGGGCATCAGTGTCCAGAAGGTATGTTGTTCTAGAGATTTCTTATAATTTCCTTTGTCTGGCTTTAGTATTAGAGTAATGATGCCTCGTGATTGAGTGAGGATTTGATTTGCCCTCTTTGATTTTTCTCTTGGAAGCTTGACAATTGGTGTTATTTCTTAGTTAAATGTTTAAAGGTATTCACCAATGAAAATGTTTGATCCTTTTCTTTGTTAGGAGGATTTCATTACTAATTTAAATTTCTTATTTGTACCACACTTGATCTTAGCCCAAAGGCTGAGAAGCGATTACTTTCCTTGTTATCGGCCTATAACAGATTTTCTATTTCTTCATGAGTCAGTTTTGGCAGTTTATGGCTTCCTTGAAGTTTGCTTACTTCATCTCGCTTTTCCAGTTGGTTGACATAATATTGGTCACAGTATTCTCTTGTAGTTGCTTTCATTTCTGTACAGTAAATGGTAACGTCTCTTTTTTTCAGTTCTGGTTTCAGTAACTCGCATCTTCTTGCTCTTTTCTTTCAGTTAGTGAAACTCAGAGGTCCCCAACCAGGGCTTGTGAGGACAACAAGAACTGAGGAGTGGGGAAGCAAATAGCTTCATCCTTTCTTCAGCCTCTCCCCAACCCTGGAGTCTTCCTTCCCCTGAGCTCTGCCTCCTCTTAGATCAGTGGGAAATTAGATTACCATAGAAATGAGATCCCTACTGTGAACTGGGAAAGTGGAGGATCCAGGTTAAGAGCTCTTTTGAATCACCTAAAAACCACCCTGTCTTTCCCCATTCATTCTGTAGAAAAATTGTCTTCCAAGAGACCAGTCAGTGGTTCGAGGAAGTTTGGGGATGGCTGAGGTAGTTAAAGATAGTGCAATTTCATTGAAATTTGCAAAGGGCCATATTTTGGATTCATTGATATTTTTCTGCTTTCTGCTTCGCTGATATCCCTTCCAATCTTTATTTCCTCTCTTTCTACTAAATCTGGGTTGAGTTTGTTCTTTTTTACTTGTTTTTAAAAATATAACTTCGGATTATTGATTTGAGATATTCCCCTTTTAAAGCAATTATACTTCTGACTTCCTTTCTCAGCACTGCATCCCATGTTTTAGCATGTTAGCTTTCCCTTTCATTTGCCTCAGGGATTTTCTAATTGTGTGTGTGTGTGTGTGTGTGTGTGTGTGTGTGTGATTTCTTCTTCAACCCACTGTTTCTGAAAGTATATTGCTCAATTTACTGAAGTTTGTGAGCTTTTTCCAGTGTCCTTCTGTTATTGATTTTGTGCTCAATTCCATAATATTTAGAAACAATGCTTCATGTAATTTGAATATTTTAAATTTTGAGTAAGACTGTTTTTTGTGGTCTAAACGAGCCTATTTTAGAGAATGTGCCATGGGCTGTTGAGAAGAATGACTATTCTATCTTTGAAGGGTGTTAGATTTCCCTTGCCTTGCCTTAAAATGGCTGCCACATAGAATAACAGCCTCCATGTTAAAATATTGTTTCTTGCACCAAAGGACTGGCTTCTTCCTGTTTCCCATCATGCCTCTTCTCCCACCAAAACAGTAAACTAACACGTGCTACCTCCTATCAGCTAGTGATGTCACAGGCTTCTCCAATCTTGCTCTCGCTCTCTCTCTTTTTTTTTTGGTACCAGGATCAAACTCAGGTCCTTGTACTTGCAAAGCAGGCAGCAGAACAGCTGAGCTAAATCCCCCGCCTCTCTCCAATCTCTTAATACTACCTCACTCATCTCTGTCCCGCTTTAGGCTAAAGCCCACCCCACTCCTATCAAAGAAGCTCCCTGTGCTGCCCTGTTGCTTTTCTCTCCTTTGTTCAGAGATAGCCGGGCAGATCCGCCCTATAATAGAGGTTTGTTATAGTCCTGGTCTGGTCCTGTTTTTTGGGCTCTTTTCCCTAATAAAGGGTGAGTGATTCATATGTTTGTGACCTCAAGTTGGTCTATATTGTTGTTCATTTTCTAGCATTTTGGCTTGTTGTATCCATTATTGAAAGAGGAGTGTTAAAAACTCCAATTGTTATTATAGCCCTAATTTTCTGTATTTTAAGTGCATATGTGTTTATAATTGCAGTGTAGATGGATTAAATCTTTTAAAAATATTTAATATCCTTTATGCCTCTTGTAAGTTTTTTGACTTAAAATATATCTTTATGATAATAATATAAACACTCAGTATCTCTTGGTTACTATCTGTATGAAATGAAATCTGTCATTTTACTTTTAGCCTCTCTGTCTTTGTCTTTAAAGGTTTTTTGTAGCAGAATGGAGAAGGATTGTGTGTTTCAATCCATTTTGACAATCTCTGGTTTAGAGAATTTACTGCATTTATATTTAGAGTAATTGCTGAGTAAGAAGAAGTTACTGCTTTTGTTTTCTGTATGTTCTATGTGCCTTTTTTCCTCAATTATTCTCCTACTACCTCATTTTGTATTTAGGTCGTTTGTTGTTTGTTTGTTATTGTTGGTAATGCAACATTTCTTTTTTTTGTAAATTTTAAATAATTGTTCTAGTCATTTTCTTAATGGTTACCTTGGGAATCACAATAACATTCTTAAATTTGTAGCAACTTAGTTTGAATAATATCTTAGTTTCAAAATCATATTTCCTTCTTTTCCAGGGTTTGTTCTTTTTGACTGATGAAGATTTAATTTTGTTTTCAGTAAGCTTTTCTCTTTTTTTCTTTTTTTTACATTTAAATAATTATTTAAAAGCCAGGTCAGGCCGGGGATTTAGCTCAGCGATTCGGTGGCCTGTCTTGTAAGCGCAAGGACCAGAGTTCAATCTATGGTACAAAAAAAAAAAAAAGAAAAAAAGCCAGGTTAAAAAGTAACAACAAAATATCTTCCCCAGTGTTTTGAAAGTTGTGTGCTGGACCACCTGTATAATGCTCAGTCAGGCGCTGACAGCTCAAATTCTTTGTTTTCCTCTTTGTACTGAGTCCACAAATCAGCAAGTGGTGAAAACTTAGGATTCTTCAGAGCACACATTTTGTTGTGGGCATGTGCATGACTTTCTGAATTTCTCACTGTGCACCAGTGGTTTTGAATGTCCTAATTTCACAAAGATTCAATCTCTCCCCTCCACTCCTCTCCTCTTCTTTCTCCCTCTCCTCTCTGTTTTTCTTCCCTGATTGCAAATCATTTATTAATGTCCCAGCCATAATCTTTGGCCCCAGAGATTTTTCAGTCGCTTAAAAATGTCAGCACACGCTGCCCTCTGCTTTCTCACCTGAGTGGTTTCCCTATAGGCATGACTGCCTTGTTCCGGTGGAGCCTGCAGACAGGCCAGCACAGACACAGAACTCCTAAGATCTCTTATTCTCTTTGGAACCAGCGATTAGAGGGATGCTGGCTGCCACCTCTCAGACTGTTACCACTTAGCAAAGTGGTGAGACAAGGTCAAGTGAAAATCTCACCAAGCCATCATGCCATTTCAAGTTGATTTTGTATTGACTGAGCATTCACTTGTTTCTGTAAATCTTTCATTATTTCCATATTTCCGTAATAAAATGTTTGACAGTTTCCAGCAATTTCTTCGTTTCTTTGGAAGGATGTGTGCATACAGCTGCTTGCCCCAGCATTTTGGTGACATTATGCCAGTGGGGCCTCCATGGTCCACTGATCTGGGATTCGGAGTCACTTCCAATTCCAATATCCTCTTCCCAGCACAATCAAAACAAAACACATGGTATTGCCTTCTAACCTTTTGCTCTCTCCTGAATCCTCCATCTGGGGCTGGTTACATTATTTTCTCAGTTACTCACGACAGAAAACTTTATCATCCTGCTCCTTTGGTGGGGTCGTTACTAGTCAATCACAGTCAATTATCAAGTCTTCCTGAAGTAAGGCAGTCCACTAAGACTCATTTTCTCCTCCCACCCAAATGATGCCCACTGTTTCTATGCTATCTCAGTCTTCTGTAACCCTTCACTTTGATTATCACCAGCCTCCTGCCTGAATAGTTTGCATCTCGCTCCTCCCCCATGTTCTCCATGCCTCTACCCAGAGCAGTCATGCTAGTTACCCTGACCCTAGAACACACGTTCATTCTCTATCTCCCGCTCTTAGAGTTGTGAGGTGCTTTAGAACAAGGGCTGTGCAAACCCTTCGGGCAACCATTCTTTGCGTCTATCAAGATGTCCACAAATGAATGTTCAGTGTCTCAAACAGACCCACAGATACCTTCTCTCGAATCCACATGATACAGTGGTGTGCACATGGCAAGACAGAAATCAGCAAAGCCTCTTTAAGAACATTTTTAGCAGTAAGGTATAGCTATAGATGACTGTCTAGAAACTTGACAAACCAAATTCACTTTCTTGTCTTTCATTTTGAAAATCTCACCCAAAGTTTATTGTCCCTTCCTTACCTTCTCCAGCTCCTACTCACAAACATACACCTGTCAGTTCAGCACTGAATTATATACTACTTGGAAATCTCCTGAATAGATAGATCATAATGCTCCTTCTGACACAAAAAAAGGAAGAATTCACCAGTATTAGGAGACTCATCACTAGCAGGAGCTACAAACAAAATGTAGCTCCACTGAAAGCCTCCGCTTTTGCCAATCACTCCTCTCTCGTCATCCCACTAGTTTTCTTTTCCCCTCTCCTGGAGGTGACAATCTTCATCCTACCAGTTTTGTATTAACCAAGAACCCACAGTTCAAGCCAGCTATACAACACATATTTTACCAACTTGAACTTTCAAGGGTTGTGTGATCACACTCTGATCTAAAATTGAGTCACAACTATAGACAAAGCTATACCTTGCTAGAACTTACTTTGTACATATAATATTTTGATTCATTTTTTAATCACTGGATAAATAATAGCCTAAATCAAGAGACCCCAACGCCCAGGCCACAAACAGGTACTAGTCCATAGCCTTCTGGGAACGAGGCCACACAAGAAGCGATCAACAGGGCAGATGACACTAACAGCTTGAGGCTTAGTTTTGCAAACTCAGGGTGCCTTATGTACTCCACATTCTCCATTGCTGCAGCTGAGCCGAAGATGCCTTTGCATCTGGGCAACTGGGACCTCCAGGCTACTGGCATTATAAGGCTTGGCTCTGAGGCTACTATAAAACAGCATGGTGTGTCTGGTAGGAAATCAAGTTTGATTCATAAATATGTGAAATGTTTTCATCTTTCCAGGAGAGGATTGCCTTAGGCTCAATCCCTGTAACAATCAAAGAAAACACTGATGAAAGTGGTGGGTACCTCACAGTACATACCTTACTGTTCCCCTGCATCCTCTTCAAACAACTCGTTGATGTTCACTCTTACTGTGTAATGATTAGTTGATCCATGGACAGCGTTTTTCAAGATGCTTATTCCAAATCGGGCTCGGATGGAGTCTGGGTCAGGAGTTTCGCTTCTTCTGGGTCTACTGGACCCATCAATCTTCTCCAGTCTATAATAGCATTCCACTTGGTCAGAACCATGACCAAAGATGGACCCCTGCAAACAACAATGCTTTGAGAAGCCACGGGCTATTTGCAATGGCTCAGATGGCAAACGTGACTAGAGAATGCCACACGCCAGTCCCCTGAGCTCCTCTTTATTCTTTGCCCTAACCCCTGATATTTTGTGCTTTTTGTTTGCCACTTTTCCTTCTCACAGGTTTCTGTGCTAGATAAGTGCTGTTGGTTCACTCTAGAGAATATTTGTCAGTGGAACCATTATTTTTGCTGCTTTGGGGGCCACATAGATATTGACATGGAACCAGGACTTATGGTTTCACGATGATTCTGTGCCATCTAGCATCTGCAAGCATTGCCCTTAGGAAGGGAAGCTGCCTTCCTGGGGCCACCCTCACTCCCAGGAGGACTATTTCCAATAATGGCCAGTGTTATAGTGCAAAGGCCTTGACATCTCAGGCTATCACAGCACAGCCACATGGATGCATCCAGAAGGGTCAGCAGCAGCTGTCAGGCCTTCACTGACCCTGGACTTCTCTCTCTTCCCCAGCCTGTTTCTTTCTCCTCTGCTCTGCACAGTGCCCTTAATAATAAATGGCCTGAACTCCAATCAGTGTCTTGGTCCCACGGAATGCAGCCTACAAAAGATTGGAAAGTTAGTTTGGTTTTCCAAGCCGTCAAGGTGCAGTCACTTGAAGTCCTTGAGATTCTGTGAATTATTTGTATCAGATATCTAATTACTACTTATGTGTTGGGTGAAGTTTTGTTTGAAATTTATAATATTACCTTTCCTGACTCACTGAAAAATGGCCTGGATCTATAAAAGATAGATGTTTTATTTAAAAGCGTTTCCTAATGCACGTGCATGTGTGTGTGCCAAACATTTTTTAAAACTCAAAGTAAACTGATAAAGGTGTTTTCAAATAATCATGACCTCTATAGAAAGTGAGTTCTGGCAAGCGGCAGTCAAGAGCATGGCCTCTCTGGCTTCAGGGTCCTACCAAACACTAGCTTTGTGACTATGGACAGTTTCCAGCCCCGAGCCTTGGTCTAACATCGCCAAAGCAGAAATTCTAGACCAATATACTTCTTAGAGTTGTTATGAGGGTCAGATGAAATAAAGTGTAAATAGGTCAGCAGGAGACTTGGAATTAAGTATTCAATACATATTTGACATCCATTCTTCTGCAGTGTTTATAAAGATACGTGTTGACAGGCGTAGATCTGTAATGTGGAAGAAATTAGTTCCCACATAATATATAGCCCTTATGTAGCTATACATAAGGTGTGATAGAAATATATGGTGAAGGTTTACATTGGGGGGTGGGTACCAAGGATAGAACTTGGGACCCTGTGCTTGCAAGGTAGGTGGCAGAACCCTGAGCTAAATCCCCAGTCCTTGAAGGTTTACATTTTAAAAAGTGATTACAGTAAAAGACACATTGCCATCAGTCTTTCTCACAATACTCTACCTTGTTTCCAAAACACCCCTCATTCTTGCTTCACCCCTTGGTGAAGCAGCTCTGCATTTTCTCTTTCATGAGTGTCTTTAACAGGTACAATAAAAAATATGGTGAACCCTGCTACTCAGTGCCATCCAATGAAGATCCAGGTTCATAAAAACATTATAGTATGTCTTCATCTACTTTATTTACCAGATCTTCCCCTGTGCAACTTGTGGCTCTTCCACAAAGTCAAAATGATCATGAAAGGGAAATATTTTAAATCAGTTTAGGATATTGAGGCAACCACAACAGAGCAACTAAAGACACTCACAACAGAAGTCTTCCAGAACTTCTTCAGAAAGTGGCAAGAATGACGGTATAAGTGTATTCAAAGCGAGGGAGAGGGTTTTCAGGGGTATTATAGTGTATTTTACTGTAATAAAGTTTCAAATTTTAAACATTCACTGTGTATTTTGATCATACTTCATACATTTATTATGCATCTGTTAAGAGTTTGACAAGATATTACGTATGTAAGAGAAAAAAGATGTGAGTAAAGATATGACAGCGAATATTTATTGAACACTTCAGATATGCCGTACACTGTCCCAAGTGCTGTCACTATGTCAGCCACTTAGCCTCGCCACAAAATTTGAGGTAGGTCCTATTCCATTGCCATTTGATAGATTAGGAAGCCGAGGTACTGATTGAGAAATCAGCGAAGCTAGACTTTAAATTCAGACTGCCTCTGTGTCTTATGTAAAGATCTCATGGAACAGAAGAAGAAAGGAAAGAAGGGAGGGAGGGAGGAAAGAAAGAAGGAGAGAAGGAGGGGGAAGAGAGGAAGATAAGGACACAAGGTAAATAAACACCAAACATTAACACACAGTCTTTTCATGAATGTGATTAGATGGAAAGTTTTTAAGTGATGTCTACTTCTCAGTTTCTAAATGGATGTACTTTCATGATGTATATGAGTGCACATCAGGAACTTACTCAGACAATACTTCTACAACGTCTTTGTAGAAGTCTTTCTTTGTTATTTGGAAATAAATCTTCTCCACCTGCCCAGGAGTGAGGAGCATGTCCTTCATCTGAGTCAGCTCAAACCCCTCCTCCTTGATGAGCTTCATGATCTCCGCTGGAGAAGACAGAGATGTGGAAACCTTACAGACTGCTCCTCTACTTCTGCTCAAGGGCGTTGAAAGTAATAGTTATATTTGCATTTTGTAGCTTAAGAAAAATCCCCAAACTGTGCTAAGCGTTAACAACACCAAATTGACACTTGGATACTTAAGATGTCAACGTAAGTGTCCAGTCTGAGATTCACCTTTCTAGAAACCACGGGAGCATTTTGTGTACTATCAGAGGGAAAAGAGCTTCTAGCAGGCTAAGAAGGAAGACATGGTTTCGCCTCCATGGTACAAATGCTAAAGTCTCTTTTTTAAAGCTTGATCTGTATTGAAAGGGAGTCGATTTTAGTTCTTCTCCCTGAAGAGCAGGGCATTACCAAGGGAATTAGGTAAAGTAAGTCTGGTTGAAACTGGGGGTCAATTTGAGTCTCAAATAGTAAAATAAAAGAAAGATGGTAGGAAACACGGAGATAGACTTTTGCAAATGGACACATGATCTAGAGACGGAGAGAGGAGGAGGAAGGGGAAGGGAAGGGAAAGTAAAAAGGACTAAGATGCAATATGCATGTTACCAACTCCCCATGGTGAATGTATTTATCATTATACACAACAAGTGTGTATTAATGATATTGATAAAATACTAATTAAAAAAAATCTCACCAACAGCCTAAATATTGCAGACAGCATTCTGGAGAGAAAAGTGAGCAAATGGATAAATATGGAGCTTTCTGGTAAAAATAAAATAAAATAAAAGCCTCTAATTTGCTCCCAGACTCAGAAGTGCTATGCTGCCAGCCAGGCATAACTCTGACCACAGACAGCAGACATCCTGAGAAGGCTGGACTCTTCTTGAGAGAAAGGAGGTGGCCAGGATGCACCCCAACAGAGGGCTCTGTGGAAACCAACATGAAGAGAGGTGAAACGCTTTCTTAGATATTAATCAGCTTGTCCAAAAGCCAACACTATGAATATATTATGAGAAGGTGGTCATTACCATGATCAAGTGTAAGCTCCTCGAATCACAGGGGAGGAAACAACCCTGGGTAGGGAGCAGGAATTTCTCTTTAGAGATGTTGACTTCTGTGTTGAGCATGGAAAAAGTAAAATGCGATCACTAAGTAGAGAAGTTGGAGAAAGTAGCAGAGTGAGTGACAAACACCAAGTTCAAAGGGAAGAGAGAAAGATACAATGTGAGAACCTGCTGGAGATGGAGTTGGTACTGGAAATGGAGAAAGGAAGCTAAAGAGCTCTATCTTCTGAAGAATCTGGGCTTTGCCCTAAGCCAGCAAGGAACAGTAAAAGCGTTCTCAGCTGGACTGCACATCCTCTAGGAAGATCCTTTCCTTTGCATATGGAGGACAAAACAACATGTGGATATGGCATAGGAAGCCATCATAGGCAAGGTATCTGGGGACCAATCAAGGCCTTGGAAGGAATCAGTTCTCAGAAATGCATGTGTATTGGAAAAGAAAAGGCACTTATAGTATGTGGGGATGAACAGAAAGGAAGCAAGAGGCCAAGGTTAATGTCAAGGGTAAACCAAGAGCTCTGTAGAAATACGACATGGATGTATCAGTGCTAAGGCCCTACCTATTACGGAAATGACTTCACAACACCAGAAGAACATTCTGAACTAAGAAACTTAATGATGACCCAAGCCCTCATCAGCCTCTACTGAGTCATCTGAAGTATGTAAACAAAGCCAATAAACTTGTACTTAATAACAAATCAAATATACTTAATGATATACCTCACCCTGCATCCGAAATCTTCACCAAACTCCATTGAGAAGTAAAATTACTTTACTGATTAAACATTATTTCCTTTTCCCATCAAAGAAGGAAGAAAAAAGGAAAGGAGAGGGAAGGAAAACAACAGTAAGAATGAGTTAAGCAAGCAGAAAGATGACAAGTGGAAAGAAAATATAACACAATGCCAACATGAGTTAAACATACGATACCTAAACATATCAGGAATCAGAACTTCAAACACAGAAGTAGAAATGGTCAAGCAATAAGTACGTGTAAAATAAAACTTGTCTAATCCAGAAAAAAATTTTTAAAAAATGTTTAAAAAGATAAAATCACCTCAGAAATAAAAACTAATTTAAAAGTGCCTAATGAAGGATATGATTTGAAATATATTAAAGCCTATAGAAAACAGGAATAAAATTAGCCTAGAAGGAAAACCCAATAAAGAGAAGTTGATAATAAAGTAATGGATGCACAAGGTAGGCAAGGATAAATATGTATACTTGTGCATAGAGATATAATTATATATTTATTTTAAAATTTGACTTCATCATATCAAAAGAAGAGAATACTTTGAACCACACTGAGCTAATGCAGTCTCCCAGTATTTTCAATGAACTCCCTAAAGATTAAAACTATAACAATGGAACAAAATTGATATGTAAAGCTAAAAGACTGTCCTGGGATAATATAAATGTAGACATTGAAAAGAGTTAATATCTATCTGTAAAGTAAGTCAAAATTGTCCAAATCTCAGACATATTTTAGTAAAACTCTCAGACATGATTTTTTTTCTTAAATTGTGCCAAACTTTTGGCAAAACATCTTTTAAATGGAAAACAAAACAAAACAAAACAAACAAAAAAACAAAAAAACAACAGTATGACATCAGCCTTGACAGCAAAATATAAAACAAGAATAGTGTTTTATTGCCAAGAAGTACAAGAATAAATGTGAGCCTAAGATTTTATAACCAGAAAATAAATAATATGGGTTCTAAAAATGTAGGCTCAACACAACTTTTAATGGTGTGAAAAAAGAAATGTGTTAATTTCAATAACTGTTACAGAGGTATTAGTATGACATTTGAAGAAGAAAAAACGAATGATAAAAGCTTAAGGAAATATGGTACAGATATTTCTATAAAAACTCTGCTTAAACTTCATAAGCACAAAATAAATTATAAAGAATCTCAATATGAAAAGTACTGAATAAAAATAATACAGAAATGTGTATAATATAAAATAATAGAGTTGAAATAACACATGTTGTTTCAATAAGTGTCAATGAGTCAATATCATGTGCTAAAATGCTTTCAGAAAGAATCATAAGTAAAACTCTAACTTTAGTATTCTATGTACAAGTGATATACCAAAACAAAGTGATTGATGCAGAAGGCAAAAAATAGATAAATACACAAAAAGGTAACAGGCAGCACAAGTAACAAGAAAATAGTTCATGTAGTGTGATAGTAACAACATAGAAGTCTAAAGTATTATACGAAACAAAGAAGGACACTGTATAGTGCTTAAAACCAAAATCCACCATGAATTTTAATTATGAATATCTGTATCAAATAAGGCATTATACATCAGAACTACAGGGGAAGTTGTCAGCAACACACGAAAAATAGGGGACTAGCTCCTTACCAACAATTGGAGATAAAATCAAGGTGGCAAAAAAATAAAAGAAAGGAATCAAGTATAAATCAAATAAATACCAACATATTGTCATATATTCAAAGTCTGCATGATGCTGATAAACAATGTCCCTTCTTACCCACATGGCATCTTCAAAAACATTTATCATATGATAGTTCAATAAAACCATAATAATTTCAGTAAAAATAATCAAAAGCATTCAAATCACAAGACACTAAAGATATTCATAAAAAATAGAGTTTATCATCCAGTAGAATAATTTGTTTCAAAAATACCTCATAAAAAAAAAAAAACATTGATCTACTGAGTCACTCTAAGGCCCCAGGGGAAAGACAAACTAAAATTACAACATTTCTAAAAAATGATGATGAAAACTTTGTGCATTAAATCTAGGGATAATAATTAAAACAAATATCAGAAGAACACATAGCTTTGTAAATTTATGTCATTAAAATAAATTAATAAAATATCTGACTCAGAAAGCTAGAACATAAAAAACCTACTAGAAAATAGAGAAAATGAAATGACAAAGGTAAAACCAAAAACAATGTTAGAAAATGGAATAAAATGTAACTCAAATAAATCAGTTCTTGTTGTTCAAAAGACAACAAAATAAGAAATGGTAAGAGTAACCTTTGAAATAAAGGAAATAAAATAAGAAATTAGTTTTGCAGATTTAATGTAGGTAGAATGGATAATTGCTTGGAAAAGTGCAGTTTAAGAAATTAACTTTGGAATGGCCAGCGATGTTGAACATTATTTTAGGTACTTATTGGCCATTTATACTTCTTTATCTAAGAACTACCCGTACATTTCAGATGCCCTTTTTGGGGTTGGGTCTTTCAATTTGGAGGAGTCTAAAGTTTTCGAGCCCTTTACATATTCCAAATACTAGAGCTTTGAGGATTTTGGAAAACAATCTATATGGCCATCAACAGATGAATGGATTAAAAATGTGGTATTTATATTCAGTGGAGTACAACTCTGCCATGAAGAAGGATAATTTTGAGGGATTTTTAGGTAAATGGATGCAGCTTGAGACCATAGTGTTAAGTGAAATAAATCAGACACACAGGCTTAAATACTGCATTTTTTTCTCTTAGATGAGAAACCCAAAGTTTAAATAAAGAGCAGAATAAAAGATAATAGAAAACACTTTTTTTTTTTCAAACACGAAGGAGGAAAAAGAGATGAAGGTAGAGAGGAGGGAAGGAAGGGAAAAAAGATATAAAAAGATTTGAAGAAAAATAGAAATAGAGCTTTTGGATGTGGGGAGAGGAAGGAGAGTTGGAAGGAGTAGGAGAAGGGGACAAAAAATGAATTAAGATGTATTATTATTGCATGTGCAAATTCCCCACAATGAATGTAATCGTTATGTACTACAAACACGTACTAATAAAAAATGAAAAATAATAAGGCAATAAAAGAGAAAGGAACTCTGAGCAAGGGAGAAAGTTTAAATAGACCAATTTCCATAAAAAAACCAACCAAACAAACAAAGAAACAAAAAAAAAAAGAAAAGAAACAGGCCTAGATATTGTCACAGGAAAATTCCGCTAAACCTTCAAATATCTATCCCTGTGCTGCTTAGACTTTCAGAGCACTCTAAAGATTTCAATACAGTTTTAGGAATTATTCCATTGTAATCTAAACTTTCTAAAACTTTCACATACACAAATGTAATACAAATGAATTGAACTTGTTAGTCTCAATGCAAAAAAACAAAAAAAATCCCAAATGAAATAGAAGCCAATAAAAATACAAGACTAGGTGAAGTTTATACAGAAATAAATAGATGGATCAGCATTAGAAATATCATTAATATGCTTTTCCATAAGAATTTATCTATGGAGAGAAAATATCATTTCCATCAACTTTGAAATGGACTTCAATAAAATATGTTTTGGGCTCCAAAGACCCAGAACCTTCTGAAAGAGAGAGAGAGAGAGAGAGAGAGAGAGAGAGAGAGTGTAGATCTAAAATGTCCTCCAAAGTCTCATGCGTTTAGAAAGAAATTAGGCTGTGGAATGGCTCATTGACGAGTTTGTGGCTGAACAGGCCGTCAGGATGTGAGGCCTGGCTAGAGGTGATCACTGGGGTGTGACCTGGAAGGGTGCATTCTTGTCCCTGGCTCCTCTATTCTCTCTCTGCTTCCTGGCTGCCAGGGAATGAGCAGCTTTCCTTCCCCGGACCCTTCTACCTCACCCTTTCTGCTTTGGAGTCAACTGACCATGGATTGAAAACAGGAGCCAAAGTAAATGTCTCCACCTTTAAGTTGCCAGTGCTGGGTATCTTGTCCCATCAACAGAAAAGTAACTAACATACATGCAAATACAACAAAGTTGATTGTTGAACCTAGATGAAGGGATATGAGTATTCGTTGTGTTATGCTTTTTAACTTTCCTCTAGTTTAAAATATTTCACTAATTTTAGTATATGTGCTGCTGAATTGACAATGTGAAATAGGAAGAAAAGGACTAAATGTGTAGGGGAAGTGGGAAGGGGAGGGGAAAGGCAGTAAAGGAAAAGAAAACAAATGAGAAAATGAAAAAATGGAAATAAAGTGTTTGTAAATAGTGAAGGGAGGAGGGGGTAAAGGGAGGGCAGGGGTAAGGGGAAAAAATGAGAACCAAGACCTGTCATGTAAAGGTACAAGATCCCAATGATGAATGTAACTGTATTGTATACCTAAAATGTACCAATAAACTCAATGAAAAAAAAAATTTTTCACTAAGTTTGGAAGAAAAATGTGCATGCCGGCTCTTATTTTAAAATACTTGCCTCTTTGTTCATGAGTCACATGAGGTTTAATCAACGCCAAAATGTTCTCAGGAGGAAAGAAATACTGTATGTCCCTTTCAGCAGCCTCTGTTGAATCACTTCCATACAATTGGTTGATAGGCAAACTTCCCATTGCAAACTGTGCACATAAACTTTGAAAAAGGAGTTATAATAATAACACAGCATAACAGCCTAACACACTATAACAATAATCACATAAATTGTTCAACAATTACCATGCAACAGTAACTCATTCTTGATCTTAGTAGTGTGTGAAAGGAAGTAAGGGCATGCTACTTCCTTTCAAGGGGGCCACAGTCATTGGGATGAGAAGATGTGATCATTTAGATCATCATGATAATAGATACTGGTGGATTATCATGGCAGGAAGAATGTGTGTTGTGTGCAAAGGAAAAGCCCAGACTGTTGGAGCCTGGTCGCATTACTTGCTGCATATGTTTGACTGGCCAATGTCTAAATTTCTTCTCATGTTAATTCTCTCAAAGAGAGGATAAGATGATGTACAAGGTGATTTTTGAGGGTGCAATCAGGTGAAGCATTTGAAATACATGGTACATACTGAGTTCCTAGTATTTCTTCTTTTGCTTTCACCATTACTGTTCAGGGGGAAAAAAAAGTGTAGCTGGCTGCTAGCATTCATTCAATTTACAAAAAGTACAAAGTGTGTACTCTGAGGCTGAAGCAAAGTTGGCTGGTTGTCAATGTGACAATGAAACACAAAAACTGTTCTTGGAGTTATTTCTAAACAGAACTTGTCTCTAACTCTAATGTGAAGGAAATGTACATCATGGTCAGTAATCCTATTTTTTAAATCTGTGTACTAAATTTCAAAGCATGGAATAACACTCAAGAATTACTAAACTTTGTAAAAGGAAATAGCACTCTAAAAGCAGAATGCTATAAATACAAAGAAAGCTTTTGTTTCCAAAGACTAGAGCAATGTATGTACTAGACCAATGCAAAAATAAAAAGAGATGTATCATGCCAAACTTTGAGGTTAAGGGCAGGCTGCAATCCATGAGTTATTTCAGGATAAATGAGAAATGGGTTAAATATTATCAAGCATAAGGTCATTTTTTACTTTATACTAAAGAGGCCATATTATAAACATTGAATCTAGGAGAACTACAATGCAACCATCAGGAGAGGAGTTATAGCAATAAAATAGCACTCAGATAGTTTTGTGGAAAGAGGCAGCTGACTGTATTGGGCCATCCATGGTGGGGCAATTTACTTTGCTCTGTTTCCTTCCTTATAAAAGCATATGAATCTCATAAATCAACTTATGTCCCTGGGAGCTTCATCTGCTGTCATTTTACCTATCTCTCCATCTAGTGATGCACATTTCAGTAAAAGAGATAATCTCAACTCATTTCATGTTGTGCACTGTAAAGAACACAATCTGATCAGCCAACCCCCTAAACTGCAACTATGCTGAATAGTATCACTTGTTGCTCAGGATGATGCGAATCCTCTTTACATCGTTGGAATCTTGGTTTTCAAGACCTTTCTTGCTTGTCTGGTTTCAGTGACCCATTCAAATTTCCAGCTTGACCTTAACCTCCAGCCCTTGGTTATTCCTATGCTTATCTTTGGAGGAGCTTCTATCAGTTGAAAGAGTTACTTCTAAAAATAATCTGTAAGAGCTGGGTAGAGATAATCAAACTGGAAACGGGGAGACCAAACAAAAATGATCGTCAAGGACTTGTGGAATGTTGCCTCTAACATTGAGGGTAGAGAGGAGCAGCCACAGAGTATCATCATGAGGAGAAAATAGCTCTATCCCAGCTCACAGCTTCTACCATATGTCTAGAACAGTTTACCCACAGGCACAGACCTTGTTTTGATAGGAATTCCTCTCTATAGTGCCATGCTGTGATGCTCAGGGCAGAGTATCAACATGATTGGCTTTGAGATCTGCCCAGCTGATCCATGAAGCACACATCTGAGTGTATCTGAGTGGGTCATGGAGGTGTGACCTTGGGATCTAGATCCGGTCCCTGGCCCCTACCTCTCTGGTTTTGTCCCCTGCTCTGCTCCCCAGCCACTACTAACTAAGCAGTTTCGCTTTGCCACACACTTCCACTGTGATGTTTCTTCTTGGAGCCAGCTGATCGTGGACTGAATTTCTTTAAACCATAAGCCAAATTAAACTTCTCCTCCTGCAAGTTGTGGGTGTGAGTATTGTGTTCAGCTCTTGGAAAGATGACTAATAAACATTCTATGCTTCATTTTACAAAGAGATTCTATGGATACTCTGACAGGGGATCCATCCCATATTACCCTTTAGAGTAATTTTCCAGCAAGGGGCAAATACATAAGTGAGTAGGGCTGAATAAAGGGTAAAACAAAACATGTTCCCGTAGGACGAGTAAGACTCAAGTACCTTCTCTCTGAAAGAAAGCCCTTCGACTTTCATGTAAGTGCTGCTTCCTGTGTACTGTTATCTATAGCGCCAATATGTAATTTAAATTTGCCACCCCTTATGGAGTATCTTTCCTCTTAAATGCCGTAAAGTCCTTTCTTTTCCTGAACTGAATCTTGCTTTGAAATCAGTAGTCCTATGGGAGGCTGAAGCAGGAGGATCACAATCGCAAGCCCAGCCTGAGCAACTTAGCAAGACCTTGTCTCAAAACAAAAAATGGCAAAGGGCTGGGATGTAGTGAAAGGCCTGGGTTTAATCCCCAGTATTGAAAAGAGGAGAAGGAAAGGGATTTAGGTAAATCACAATTTTGTTTGACTCCCTCAGCTAGGCACCCAGTATGGAGAGGGAAGAGATACTTTTTCTATCCTCCAGGTGTTACCAGGCCTGACAGAAAAAATAAAAAATACTGATAATTTGTTCAGCTGTGCAAGGGCTATGCCAGATGTTGAACCAGTAGCAAAGTCTATTTGATTTCTAAGATTCATCAGTAAACTAACTCAGTAGATGTTCCATCAAATTGAAGAGGACGTATTCAGTTAGTCTTCACTGTCTTGAAACTCTTATGATTAGTGGAAGGGCCTGCAGCTTTTCTCAAAGGAATTTCTCCTACACAGCAGGTGGGTGGCTATTTCTTCCAAGAAAGACCTTGTTGGCTGGGTATCCACTTCTTAATTCTCAACTCCAGGCTGAAAGTTCTCTCACAAAAGTATTGTTCATCTTCAAGCTGGTATTGGTTGGGAACTCCATCATAAGTAGTCTGCTACTCCCCCAGGAAAAGTCACTTTCCTAGAACCTGTCTTGGAGTAGAGTTATAGTTCTTGCACCCTATACTTACAATGAAATTAAAGTGGATCTCATGGAAAAAATGCTTGGGGCCCAGGATATAAATCCTACCTCTCTCCATGATATTCAGTGACTTCCTCAACAGTCCGTGGTCCCAGTAACTCTTTCCAGTATTGCACACAATTCTCTCTTAATAAAACAAGAGCAAGAGATGGACTCCTGATAGAAAAGAAAAATAGGTACTAAGAATATGACTTAGTAGCTAATGAGATATAAATACTATAAAGGTAGTTAAATAGACTGAAAACCTGTCAAAGTAATCCTTTTGGGGTTCTAACTTTAATTTCCTTTTCCAGTCTTTCAAGAGCATTTTCCTAAGAGGTTGGAAGCAAAAAAAAAGGAAGAAAAGAAAGAGAGGGGCTTTGACTCTTGTCCAGTGATTCCTTTCCAGGTCCTATGCTTCTTCTGGTTTATGTGTCCTTGCTGGATTTCTGCCTCAGCTGCTGTTTCAGTCATTCTTATAGAAACGTGACCAATTTCAAGCATCCCACTCCTATCCCAGTATACTGATCTGTGGGGTTACCAAAGCTCTAACCAGAAGTCAAATAGATCAAATCTAACTTCCCAGAGTCAGTCAGTCCCCTGGGTGGATTTTGCTTTGTGATACTTGGATTTCTGGAGTTCAATCCGACTAGATATCATCAACTTCCCTGGGATCTTTCTTGTTCTTATTGTTCCATATTGTTATTTGAAGAGCAGCAATTTGTTCATTTTTTTTTATTAGCCGTGAAGTCATGGGATTTTTGAACTTCATTAAAATAAATATAAAATTTGAGCATGGCGGCACATGCCTATAATCACAGCCCTCTAAGAGGCTGAGTCAGGAGGATCACAAGTTTGAGGCCTACCAGGGCAACTGAGTGACTTAGTGAGACACTGTCACAAAATGAAAATTAAGAAAAGGGCCAGTGATGTAATTCAGTGCAAAGGCTCTGGGTTCAATCTCAAGTACTGCAAAAAAACCAACAGTAATAGTAATCATTATAAAAAATTACTTCTTATTTTTCTTTGCATCTACATCAAGATAATTCACATCAATTATTTAATCTTTTTTCCCACTTTCGCTTTTATTATCAGTATGTATTAATTTGATCAAATATTGGGTTTCAATACATATGATATAATTTGATCCTATCCATCCCCATTATTGCCCTCCTTTATTCCCTTCCTTCGGTCTCACAGCTGTCTCCCATCTACGTTTTTGTCTTTCTATTGCTCCAGTGATTTCCAGAAAGAGTAGAGGAAACAGAGCTGATAATCAAGACAGGGCCAGGAGACAGAGAAATAGTCTCAGAACCTGCTTGTGGAACTTAAAGGTTTACAAAGAGAATAAAAGGCAGGGTAGGAGACAGTTTAAATGATTAAAAGAATAAATCACACCACTGTAAATCAAAACTCTGTTTTACCTGGTCATCTTTTCTATAAGTGCCTCAAAATAGCTTTCATTTTCATATTCTTTACACAGCATTTTTGCTTCTTCTTCTGATAATACTATTTGTCTTTCCATGAGAATTTCAAAGCCTTCACCTTTAATAATGTTTAAAACCTCATCTAAATAGAAACCATCACATAACAGAAAGTTTTAAACTAGTAGTCTACTGGAGATATATACATACATACACGACATATATATGTAATTTTATCATGAAGGTGTAAGTATAATGCATTTCTTTTCCTTATGAAACATAAAAGTTTACAAAAATAGCTTCTTAAGTTTTAACTTAAGGTTAACCAAGCTTCTTATCTTATCAAGTTATAAAATAACAAAGGAAATGAAAGCCATACTGGTGGAAACAAGAGGAGCAATGTTTCCCCCTTGCAGCTGGTGTTGCTGTCTATGTCAGTGCTGTTCATCCAAAGAGGGAACCTGGCCTCTCTAGGGAAGATGGACAGACTCCAGGGGCACTTTTGCATGTCACAACAGGGGTGGGGAGAATGCCCCAGAACTGGGCGGGAAGTGGACACGAGAATGCTACTAAGCGTATTCTCCAGAGCACCTGACAGGGCTCCTGTCCCACCAAAGAGTGACCTGGCCCCAAAGATAAGGAGACGTAACATTACGAAATCCTGGTATATCTAGAAATTCCAAGGAAATGATATCACAGCTCCCAGGACTGAGTTCAATATGCTGAATAAAGAATCGGTATGCAAATATCAATTGTGTTTCCATATACAGTACAGGTACAAAAATAGTAAAAGGGTCACTTCAAGAAAGGAGTCAATGTACCAAGTCTGTCCTTACTCCTCAGTGTTCACTCTGCCCTGTGAACGGGCATGAGGTTGAAAATAACTAACAGAGTGCCAGGCAGTTGGTTTATGCTTGCTCCTTTCAATCCTCTGAATTTTATGAAGAAATAGGCTCTGTGAAATATCTTACTCAAGTGATGCTCCTAATTACTGTGGACCTGAGCTCTGAACTGAGGTATTTCAGACATGAAAGCTTCCAATCTCTCCTAAATTGTAATTCCTGCCATGGTAAAACCCACTCTAACAAGTCACAGATTAGAAAAGGCTTTATGAATGAATCTATTCTCTCGCTCTTTATGGCTGAGTAATATTCCATTTTATAGAAAAACCACATCTTCTTTATCCAGTTTCCAACGGATGGGCAAATAGGTTGTTTCCAAGATTTAGCTATTACAAACTGTGCCGCTATAAACATGGGTGCACATACTTCTCTGTGATATGATTCTTTTAGTTCTCTTGGAAAGATACCCAACAGAGGGATGGCTGGGTCAAATGGAACCTCCAGTCCAAGCTCTTTGAGGTATCTCCATATTGATTTCCATAGTGGTTGCACTAGTCTGCACTCCCACCAACAATGGAGGAGGGTTCCTTTCTCCCCACAACCCCGCCAACATTTGTTATTGTGTGATTTCTTGATAGCAGCCATTCTTT